TTGAGTTGTCGTTTAGGTTTTTTAAGCGAATAAACTTCTTTTTTAGAGTGTTTAGTGGCTAAAGATAGTAAAGATAACGGATTTAAGGAGCGAGTGCCGAGACGATAATTTTTTTTAAGGAGAGTGGGATTAGCAACTTGACCGACTAATTGCTCATTAGTGCGGTAGAAGTAAGTAGTTTGGGCAGTATGGTAATCATAATGGCGAAAAATTTTTTGATTTTTGGCTAAGGGTTGACCGGTTTGGGCATCTAGTTTATGACGACCAATTAAAAGGGCGGGTTTTGACTCGTATTGGTATAAGTTGAGATAAAAGCGATAAGTTCTTTTTTTGTCTTTTAAACCGTGTTGAGCATAGAGCGAGCGAAGGTGGAAGGACTTGCTGAGATACTTGGCTAAGTAAGAACTAATCGTTTTATGTCCGGGACTTCTAGACTCTACTCGACCATAAGGTCATAATTGACTAATGTAGGCACGGCAGTTTCAGCAAGAGGTAAAGTTCTTGTCGAGAGTGCATTTATGCGAGTAAGGAACAATCGGAGTAGAGAGTAAATGGAAGTGTCAAACTCCATTTTTTTGTAATTCGGAGACTACCGTTCATTTTCAGTTATTCGGCTTTCAGAGACGACGAATCCGACGTAAAAAAAGGGCGAGGTAGTAATTGGCAGGGTTATATTGACTAACAGCGGAAGGGACTTTTTCGATTTTGACTTTTAAGGGTTCCGCGTGGGGGTCAAAATTAGTGGCTCAGTCTTTTAATCAGGAGTTTTTTTTACTAATTGGTTCTCACACCGAGTCTGCCGGATTCCAATTAGTAGTAAAAGCCGAATAATTATCGTGTTTAGTGTTAAAAGTGAGGGTTAAAAATAACAGGGGTTGTTGAGCTTGAGTGCCTTCAAAGTTAGCTTCCACTTTATCTTTGAAGCGGGTGTAGAGTTTCTTTTCTTTCGAGTTAAAAAAGGAAAAGTAAACACAATTTTGAGCATCTTGGAGACAGTCATCGGGTTTAGTTGGGGGAGTTGCTAACTCAACTGGTTTAGTTTTTTTAGGTTGGTCTAGATAAAAGGATTGTGCCGAGTTTTTAGATAAGGTAACACTAATTCGATTGGTCGATTCAATATGTTTACAAGAGACTGATAAAACTGTAAAGGAAGTGTGGTCTTGGACTAAAAATGATTTAAGGTCAGACTTGTTTACTTGTTTGATTTGAGCCAGGTCATTCAATAATTTTTGAGGACTTTTTGCTAAGGAATTAAAACCGGTAGAGTTATGACCATTAAAAAATATATATATAAAATTAAAAATTCACTATGCCTAAACTAAACCGATATACAACAGAAAAAGCAGTCAAAGAAATTGAGAAACTCCTTAACAGTCAACTTAATAGTTGAGGAAAAATGCAAAAATATAATCCGAATGGAAGTTCTAATCCTTTTTGGAGAGATATGAACAAAAGAGCCTACTATATGGAACATGTTCGCTTGCAACCAGAACATTTAAAGTATGTTCTAGAAGAAAAAAAAGCCTTGGTTAAATGGATTTTGGAAAATTATCCACAATATAATGTTCCTTATGACCCAACTAAACTCATTAAACGCGGAGGTCGCATTAATCTGGATGGTGTGCTAGTAAACCCCATGATTATTGCCCGGGAACGAGATTTATTATTTGGTACCAATAATACTGAAATGGTAACCATTGACAATTGAAAAGATAGGTTTTATAATGCTGAAACTCGGGAAGAGTTAGAGGATTTAAAAGGGTTATTCAATAGTCGGTGAAAGATAGATAATTTTGTGGAAAATGTTCAAAAATTAGTGAATGGAACGGTGGAAAGTATTCAAAGTCTATGAGAGGAAATAAAAAGAAAAGATAAAATTGTTGCTCTTTGAAACCAAGCGGTAAGCCATGCCAGGAAATATGTTTATAATCGAGAATTTCAGCAGTTATTCGCCTCCCAGAGTAGTCCCACCGCCTGAGGAAGTGCTCAACATGGAAGTCAAAACCCCGAAGTGAAAATCCACCAAAAGGCCGGGATGCAATATGCCTATTACGTGGCTTATGAATTAATGAAAAAAGAGTTAGATAAAGTCGGATATGAGGCTCGTGAAACCGTTATTTTTTCTGAATTGAAAGATAAAATTGGTTGACCCAAGGAAAATTATTTTCCGAAAGGTGATGGTAGCAAGCCGGAATTAGTGTCTTGAAACCCAGTGATTTCTTCGCCAACTGAAAAACCAGTGGATAATTCTGATCAAACTGATTCTAATTCCAATTCGGATACTGAGATAACTACTCCTGACACCTCCGAGGATGAAAAAGAATTAAATAAAGATAAACTTAATGCTTCGGTTAAAGAGGATGTTCAAGCAGAAGAGGAAGATGCAAGAGAGAGACTGGTTAGTTCCTTAATGAAAGCCCAAAGTAAAGATGCTACTGATGAAGACCGAATTGATACTATTTCAGATGCGATTAAAGTTTTTGGTAGTCAAAACAGCCAAACCGAACAAGAACAAGTGGAAATAGTAAAAAAAGCATTATTTCAAAATAATCCTGAGTTATACCGACAAACCATGGTTAAGGAATTAGAAAAAGTTATGGTTTCTCAGGAAATAACCGAAGAGGAATTAAATTTAACTTCCGAATTAAAAACCAAGTGAACCCAGTTAAAAAATGGAGAAATTAAGGAACAATCCCAAGTTGATGAAGTAGTTAAACAAATGAATATCCAAATAATTCAGCAGGGAACTACGAAAAAAATAACTTATTTCAAAAAAAAAGCCCAAGAAGTTATTAAATCGGGTGATAAAAAACAAATCTGGAATCTCTATCAAGAAGTATTATTAGAACGTGAGAAAATGAAAGTTAACGCTTACCAAAAAAATAATTCTGAACAAGCCCATGCTTTAATAGCTGAATTAGAACGAGGGATAAGTGAACAACCTACTACGACTGACCCAGTTAATTCCTTTTTCCTTCCGATAATTTTGGCAGTAGGAACCATTATATTATTAGTGGTTGGTTTGCTATTAATAAAACTTTGGGAAGCAAGAAAAAAGAAAAATAAATCCTCGAAAGGGAGTTATTAGAGACTAATTTTAAAAATTAGTGAACTAGTTAAAACACCAACTCCATTCAAAAGTTTTATATAAATTAAGAAGGCGAAAGAAATTCATTTTGACTTTGGAACTAACCAAACAATGTTCAATTTACAATAGCACTTATTGTCAAAACAGAAACAAAAATTAACTATTTAATTAGAAAATAAAAGCATCAGCCTCATTTTTTTGACTCCCCCAATATGAACAGAAAAAAATAAAAAAAGGTTGATTTAAAGATGAGATAATTGGTTGTGTTTTTAAACCACTTCCTGAACAAGAATAGAAACTTTATGAAAATGATACTTTTTATACAAGAACTCGATGAGGAACTGAAGCAAGGTATGAACATAATACATCGAACCTACTCAATGTTTAATTATTAGCAATGCTTGATAAAATCTAATTTAAGAAAAAGGGAGTTATCATAGACTCCTAATTTTTGTTTAGTAGTAAGGTTCTCCAGTTTAAATATTAGAACACTTAAAAATAGTATTAATAAAAAGTATGGAAAAGAAAATTAGTATTTTGCAAGGTGGTAGTATTTACTTCTTCTACCGCCCAAAGGTCGAAAATAGTTCCAAAGAAGTGCAACGATTTTTTTTGGTTTTGCAACCCCAAAATCAAAGTAAATATCAGTTATTAATTGTCGGAAAAAAACAATTACCTCCCACTGAAAAAGAAAATTATTTTTTGTTTTTGGAAGCCATTAAAAATAGCAAGGAGGAATTATTGTCAGCATTAAGTGAAAAACATTATTCAACTAAAACGAGGGGAGAACGAACTTTACCGGTTTCTCATTGCCTTGGAGCCGGAAAATATTTATTAGCAACTCATAATAACCACACCCATTTTATTTATCAGTTAACCAACCCTTCCCAAATTAAAGAAGTTCAAAAGGAATTCAATTTACAAAAGGAAGATGATTATTTAATTAGTATCAAAAATCCCCAAGCGGCTGCTCCCACCGGAGCAGGATTGACCGCAAAGCAAAAAGTCAAATTCCCCTCTGCTTTACAGACTAAATTTGCTAATTATTCTTTTATTCCTCTTTCTACCAACGAATTTTTGAATTATGAAGGAGCGGAATTGCTGTTAATTTCCAAACGAAAAGAAAGTTTAAGCAAACGAGAAAACGAAGTGGAAAATTGTCTTGAAAACATCCACCCTGACAATTTGTTAGAGGAATTTTCCAAAATAAGTTCACCGGAGGCTCTGGTTCCAATTAAAGAAAAATAAGATAATGGGAAAGTTAAACATTTACACTAAACTCCAAGCAATCCAGTCTGAAATCAAAGAACTCATCCGCACCGAAGAAAACAAGTTCCAAAAATATAAGTTCTTTAATGAATTGCAAGTGCTAAAATTATTAAGACCTTTACTAACTAAGTATAAATTAACTCTCTTGTTAAGTGATGATACTTCCCAACCCTTTATCCATGAAAAGGAAGGCAAAGAACACTTTATTAAATACTTAAAAAAGTTAGAGATAGTGGATGCTGAAAGCCCCGAACAAAGACTATTATTTAACTTTTGAGCGGCAGGAAGTAATGTGGACTTAGCCAAAGCCAAAGGTTCCAGTGAAACCTATGCTATTAAGTATATGTTGAGTAAATTCTTTTTAATGCCAGTCAAGGATGAAGCTGACCCAGATTATCGACAGAAGGAAGAAAAAGATGGAATGACCACTGAGGAAAGAAAATCAGTCAACGAATTTTTAAAAAAACATGGTTGAAATAAAGAAGAAGGTCAAAAATAACTCTTTCCATTCATATAAATATAAAACTATTATATAATTAACAAACAAAAATAATAATAAAAGAAATCAAAATTTATAAAGATATGGCAAATAAAAACAATGTAATTAAGGAAATTCAAGAACTAATTCAACACATTGAAGCGAATTATCAGGAAGGGATTGATTACAAACATATGACTTGGGATGAAATTAATAAGGAGGGAGTGGTGCGAACTTCCATTCTTTCTCCTCGCTTAAAAAAATATTGTCGGGAGAAATTTGGTTTTCCGGCGGGAGTTGATGATTATTTAAAATATTGAAAACAAGACTCAGAAAGTAGGGTTAGTGCTTTTTATTACAACACAAAGCAAACCATTAAAAAGGGAGGAGAAAGAGTCGATGTTTTATGGTGGTGTAAAGAAAAATTAAATAATTTGGGATTAGAAAAGGAAGGAATAAAAGCCTCTGAAATGTGTGCGGTTTGTCAAAAAATAGCTTTCAGAAAAGAGGGTTTAATGGAATTATGAAATGGCGAGATCAAAGACATTGGGTATAGTAAAGTTTGAAAACCTTCTGTCTTGGCTTATTTCCACCCTGACTGCGCCAAAGAATATTTTGCGGATAAAGAACAACCAAATGAAAAAAATACCCAGATAAAAGAAAAGTTATTGCGAAATTTGGATAAAATCTGTATCGAACAAACAGGTCATTTAGCTAATGCCGAACTTTTAAAAAATGACAAGGAGAATGAATATTTTTTTCGTAAAGGAATATATGGTTCTGATTTACCAGCATGGAAAGAATGGTGAGCCAAAATTAACAAAGTAGAAATCGAAGGCGAGGAAATAAATTTGGAAGAATTATCGAAAAGAGATTATGGCACTTATCAGAAAATAGGCGAGGCGCTCATTAAAGAAATTAAGGATAGCCCCCAAGATTGAAAAATTGAAGAAAAAAAACATACCCACTGAACTGAAAAAACAATAAGGCATCAAAAAACTAGACGACGACATTGGAAATCATTAAAAGTAAAAGAATGAGACGAAATTGAAGCCTTAATAACTGGTTCGCCTTTACCAGTTAAGAAGCAAAAACCAACTGATATAGAGTTAGCAAAATTAAAAGTTATTTTCCAAAAATTAAATATTAAAAAAATATCCTTTAAAAATGGTGAGTTAGCAATTACGCATAATAATAATAATAATAATAATAATAATGAAATTATCACTAATAACCAATTGACTAATAATTCAGAATATCAAACCCTAGCAAATTATTGTCAAAAACACCACCAAAAGGAAATCACTAAGGAGCAATTAGGGATTGATTCTGATACTAATTCCACTAATTCAAAGCCAAATGACCATAAATTAGTAATTGGTTTAGTAGCGGGAATTATCGGAGGTGTGGCATTAACCGGAATAATTATTTTTTTGCTATCTCGCAAAAGAAAAAATAAATAAATTTTGCTCATGCCTAAAAATCAAGAAAAATTCCCCCCCATCCATCCTGGGAAAATAATTGAAAACCGTTTTTTTAAAAAGAGAAATTTAACCATAGAAAAAGTGGCTCATGACATAAAACTTCCTGCTTATCAATTACAAGATTTAGTAGAGGGTAGGGGTAGCATAGATACTGACCTTGCTTTTCGCTTGGGGTTATATTTTAAAGTAGGAGCCGAAGGATTTTTGAATTTACAGCAGATTTACGACTTGGAAATTTGAAAAGATAGACAAGAAAATATAATCAAAAAGCAAATTAAACCTTATCAGCCGGAAAATAAACATGAGCGTGGTAAAGTTGTTCAGAGATAAGGAAACTGAAAAAGTTTGAAAGAGGATTTTTGTGAAAAAATGAAATAAAGAACTACAAAAGAGAGCGTGGGAAGAAATGACTTTACTATTTTCTTTTGCTAATGATTGAAACGGATTGAAAGAGTTATTTGGTGCCGATTTGGAACCTTTAAGAGGCAAGAGAAAAGGCCAATATAGTATCCGAGTTAACGACCAGTGGCGAATATGCTTCGTTTGGAAACTAGGAAAACTTTGTGAAGTAGAATTAGTTGATTACCATGATGAAAAGAAATAATAAATCGCTTTCTAAAAATAAGTTATATGTTTTGGCCGTTTCCGGCGGTTCTGATAGCATGTTTTTGTTAGAAAAAATGCGTGGTGAGGGGTGTAATTTAGTAGTTGCTCATGTCAACTATAAAAAAAGAGAGAATAGCGATTATGACGAAAAAGTGGTGAAAGATTATTGTCAAAAATATTCTTTGCCTTGTGAAATTCACCAAGTAAAAAGTTCTGAATATCATTCCGTTAGCAATTTTCAAGCCAGAGCTCGGCAAATCCGCTATAATTTTTTTCAAAAATTAGCCGATAAATATCACACTAAATATATAGTAGTAGCCCATCATTTAGACGACCATTTAGAAACCTATTTACTCCAAAAGCAACGAAAATCATTAGCGGAATATTGAGGATTACCATCCAAAACGAAACAGGGAAAGTATTGAATAATTCGTCCCCTTTTATCTCTTAATAAACAGCAGATTTATCAATATTTAACTAAAAATAAAATAGATTATGCGGTAGATATTACGAACCAATTACCAATTTATCAGCGCAATATTATTCGGCAGAAATTAGATAATTTAAGCCAAGCAGAAAAAAAAAATCTGGAGAAAGAAATTAAAGCAAAAAATCAAGCATTAAGAAAAACCAAAAAAATGGTTAAAACTGCTGCCAAAAAACTAGTTATTTCTCCTGCTGTTCTCGAACTTGATCGAGAGGCTAAGTACTTGCCAGAAGTATATTTGCGCTTACTTTATTTTTGGATTAACCAAGCCACGGGCGGAATACTCCAAAAGAGAAAAAAAAAACTTCTTAATGAGATTTATAAACAATTGTTTTTAAGTAAAAAAACGAATTTAATTCTTGAATTAGGGAATAATCATCGCCTAGTCAAAACTAGCAATCAAGTTTTGGTTGTCTCCTAAAAATATATTAATATCATAAAGTAATGAAAGATAAAGAGTTGTCAAAAAAAAAGAAAAAACCTTCTGAAACCGGAAATTGATTAGGTCTATTGCTAATTTTAACTCTACTTGCGACAGCAGTTTTTTTTTTTTTTTTACACTTTTCCCCCCTCGACAAAAAATCCTTTTGAATGAGGAAAAAGGATGCAGAAACCATAGAAGCTTGAGGGCTAGAAAAAGAAGAAGTTAATAAGATAGATTGAACGGAGGTTAATTTTGTCGACCATCCTTTTTCAGACAAAAAGAGGCAATATGAACTAAAGGGAGAGGAAAGTAGCTTTTTTAAAAGGCTGATTGGGAAAAAAAAAATCTACTATGTCCTTAGTGAACTTGAACCTCACGAAGTAATCGATAAAGACATAAAATTTAAAGATCTTGACAGTAAGGGCAAGGTAAAAATTTCTACTATTAAGATCGACAACCGACACAACTTGTTTAAAGAAAGTTCTTCGTTTAGCATTTGAAGCGTTTTTCATTTTATATTTTGAGTAATTGTTGTTTTGATTTCGCTGGCCTCTTTTGACATGATGTTTGGCACCAGTATTATCGGGTTCCTTTCTTACCCCTTTCGGGCTTGGAAAAAGAAAACCGAAGGGAGTAGCGTGCCGAGCATTGGATTTAAAGATATCGGTGGTTTACAAGAAGCCAAGGAAGAATTAGGAGAAGTAGTTTCTTATTTTCATAATCCGCAACCTTTTTGAAAACGAGGAGCCAAGGTTCCAAAAGGGGTGCTATTAGTTGGACCACCCGGTAATGGTAAAACTCTATTAGCTAAGGCATTAGCGGGGGAATGTCAGTTACCTTTTTTGTTCCGTTCCGGTTCTGAATTTGAGGAAGCAGTAGTGGGAATGGGAGCTCGCCGCATGCGAGAACTTTTTCGGCAGGCTCGTAGTTATCCCCAAGGATGTATTGTTTTTATTGATGAAATTGATGCGATTGGTCGCAAAAGATACTCTACTTCTAATGTTAGCCATGCTGAGCAAACTTTAAACCAGTTATTGAATGAGTTGGATGGCTTTCATCCTCGTGACAATATTGTCATCTTAGCAGCCACTAATTCTTTAAGAGTTTTAGATAGTGCTCTTTTAAGACCAGGTCGGTTTGACCGGCAAATTTTTATTCCTCTCCCTAATTTGAAAGGACGACGGGAAATTATTAGACTTTGCGTTAGAAAGTTAGCAATCAAATCTGATGTTGACTTAGAGGAAATTGCTGCCATGACTAAGGGATTAAGTGGAGCCCAAATCGCTAACATATTTAATGAAGCCTCTATTTTAAGTATTCGCCATAATAAAAGATTTATTGATTATGAAATGATTTTTGAGGCTTATGATCGAACCTTGATGGGTCCTTCCTTGACAAGTCAAACTCTAACCCCCGCCAAAAAAAAAATAGTGGCCTACCATGAGGCTGGGCATGCGGTGATTGGCATGAGTTTGCCTGAGACAATTGTCAAAAAAGTTACTATCATCCCTCGTTGGTCGGCTGGTGGATACACTTGAGTTGATTTATATGGTGAAAGTGATGACGACTACTTAATTAATAAGAGCCAAATGCTAGCTCAGGTTATGTCTTCGCTGGGAGGTCGAGCCAGTGAAGAATTAGTTTTTGGGCTCGAATATATTACCGTAGGAGCTTACAGCGATTTTAAGCGAGCCTCAGAAATTGTTCGTAGTTTAATTTTTCGTTATGGAATGTCAGATTTAGGAATTATTCCTACCCAAGAGTCTTTTTTTTCTGGTGAAGAAATACCGCTCGAATTACCTGAAACTGCCAAACAAAAAATTGAGAAAGAGCGGGAAAAAATAATGAACCAGTGTTGAAAGCAAGTTAAAGAAATTCTGCAAAAAAAAAGAAAGGTGTTAAAATTATTAGCCGAAATACTCTTAGAAAAAAGTTCACTCCAAAGAGAAGACATCAACTACATTTTCATCAACCAAATTTCCCCTTATACTCCGCTACTAAATTAAAAAAATACGATGAAAAAGAACAAGAAAAACCAAAAAGAAATAGAAGTTAACAACGATTCCCAATCTCAGAGTACTTATAACATTTGACAACAGTACAATGAATTTATTCGTCGACTTTATCTGGAAAAACCGCTAAAAAAACCAAGTGGGAAGCAGTTAACTTTCAAGTATTTAAGTAAGTTAGCGATTGTTTTTTTAGCAGCTCTTTTCACCACCCTTACTTTTTACTTTTTGATTGACCCTAATGGTCTTTATAATAGTGGGTTAAATGGACTTTTACAAGTTGTTTCTAAGTTAATAGTTGGTCGAAGTACCAAGATTGGATGAGCCACTTATTACCTTATTTATTATGGTTTGGGTTTATTAACTAATTTACTCTTTATTTTAGTTTTACGGGCATTTTTCAAAGCCAAGTTAGAAATAATAAGCACTTCAATTTTTTATGTTTTGTCCCAAATTATTTGGACTCAAATATTTGGGTTGCTTAATTTGCGAGAATTTGTTTTCAATCGCTTTAATCCTAGTAGTTGGCAAGGTCTAAGTGCTAGTAGTCAATTATCTTTCACCCTTCCTTATTACATAGTTATCGCCATTGTTGCGGCCATTATTCATACTTACGGATACAGTCTAATTTTCCAAGCCCAGGCCACTCCGGGTGGATTAGAAATTTTTACTTCTCATTTTTCTTCTCGTGAAGGGAAAAAGAAAATTTCAATCAGTTCGCTGATGAAAATATTCGGACTAGTTATTATCTTTGCCGTTACCCTCCTTAATTTTACCATGGTAGAAGGTGATGTCAAAATGAGAAAAAGTCTGCTGTTAAAAGAAATTAAAGAGCAAAAAGAAAAATTAAGCGAAAAAGGACTTAAAATAGAACAAAAAAAAATCGAGGACATTTTGAAGGACTGAGAAGAGGATATGAAAAAGATCAAGCAGTTAAAAAAAAAAGAGGAAAAAAATATTCAAGAAATTTTTGCAATTAGGGAAAAAAATCGTTCGCTTACTATTCTGTTCAGAAACAAAACCGGATTCCAGCAATTAGAAGAGTATCCTCAGGAAATAAATTACTATTTAGCACCAAACGAGAAAAGGGGGGAGAAATTAGAAGTAGAGAAAGGAAAAATTGAAAAAAAAATAGGCAAGGCTGAAGGAGAAAAATTAGCCAAAAAACTCCGCCGTAAGAATGATTTAGAGAACCGAATTAACGAACTCAAAAAGGAGCAGCAAAGAAGTATCCTCCCGAAGTATTTAAGTTATATTACTAATAATGAACGACTGTGGGCAACCATGGTTTATATTTTCCTTTCTTCTTTCTTAATTAGTCAAATTTTCCCCCGCGACCAAATTGTTCTCCTTCGTCTCCATTCCTCGACCGAAGAAAATCGCAATAAGGGATTGAAATTGTTGCAAAAATTTTCTCCTATTTACTACACCGTCTATCGAAAAAAGGGTGATGAAGAAGAAGTTATTTACGTGACAAGTTGCCATTTAAGCAAGTGAAATTACTATCTTATTACTCCTTATTTAAAACAAGTTGGAACAGCTTATTCGAGTGAAGCCAGCACAAGTTAGTCCTAAAATAATTTAATAAGTTTTATGCCAATATTAAAAATATTCTTGTGGATTTTGGGAATAGTGATTATAATTTGTTCTTTTTTTTTTGGGGAAGAAGATAGTTTTTCTTCCGCCCAAGAGCGCAAAGAAAATATTTATAAAGCCACTCATTTTACTAAATTAACCAACTTCATTCGTAACATTTACATGGTACTGATAGCAATTTTTATTTCATTGACTTTTCTTTTGCCTCTGCCTTAATCTTTTGATCAGTGCCTCTACTTTAGCAAAAATATTTTTTTTCTGTGTTTTCTAGGTTCTTTTATACTTTTGGTTGAAGTTTTTGAACTGTTTTTTGTCCACTTTGCTTGCCTAAATTGGTAGAAATTAGGAAATCTTGTTTAGTGCTTTCTTTTTGAGAAAGAGACTATAATGCTTTTCCAATAACCTCCAATCCTTTATTTACCTGTTCTAATATCTCCTCGTTTACTACTCCGCAACAATCTTGTAAACGGAGTTTGACAATGCGGATTAATGCTAACTCCAAGAACTTTTCTTGCTTTTAACTTTTCCATAAATATATTTTATATTATTATAAGATATAATATGTTTATATTTTTAGCCTAAACTAATAAAGGAATAGAACAAAAGTAACCATACATACCCATCCTAAATTTAAAGAATATTACTGTAAAAAAGTTAGAAGATAAGGATTTAAACCTTATTACTTAACTTAGTATCTCCAAAACCGATGCAGCATCTATTTTACTTGATAATTAATTTTTTTCCTTTTCCGATAAATTATTATTCCCAGTGTAATTGATATTAATAAGATAAGAGCAATTGGAACTACTGCTTTTCAAGGAAACTGGTCAGAGAGAGTTGGTTTTTGGATCGAATAATTTTCTAAATTTTTTAGCATCCTTTTGATCTCACCTCCTTTTTGGGAAAGCAGAGACTTTTCATAAATATCGGTGCTGGCTAAAAAACTGTATAATTTACCTTTGACTGCTTTAATTTTACTTTTATTTCCTAATTTTAAGGCTTCTTGAGCCTCTTGTAGGATATGGTTTAATTTCTTCTTAGAACCTTTTTGTCCCACATTTTTTGCTACCTTTTTTTCTATTTCATTGATTTGGTTATTATCCTTAATTTCTCTACTTTTTAATTTTTCTAACTCTACTTTTATTTCGGGTTCCAATTCCTGCTCCTTGATATCGTATTTAGTCATATTTTTTTCAATGGTATTAACTATGATTTGGCAGTATTCTTCTTCACTGACCTTTTGGGCTAGTTCATTTTTTAAATTGTCTACTCCCGCTTGGTTATCCTCATAAGTTTGTTAACCTTTGGATTTTTCCACTTCTTCCAATTGTTTTTTTAATTGTTCGGCATCTTTTCCTTTGGTTTCTAGGTTATTAGCAAGGTTTTCTGCTTCTTTTTTCGCCTTTTTTTTAGCTTCAAGGTCAGCCATTACTCGGTCTCTTATATTAAAAATATCATTTTCGCTATCAGCCCCCGCAATTTGCTCTCTTCAGCCACGATTATTTTCGGACAACTCAGAATTAGCAATTTTAGGTTCCTGTTTAAGAGTGCTGGAAATTACCTGACAGGCTTGGGTACGAACACTAGCAAGAGAGTCAGAAGGAGAGGAGGGGGTTCATGTTCGTCGTTACTATTACCATGAGATTCAGGGTTAGTATTATTTTCTGTTTCGATCTCTTCCTCATTAGAGGTTGGTTCTGGTTCAGGAATTTTTCAACCAAGGCTTCGGAAAAGATTTTTAATTGCTTCAAGGTTGAGGGTTCTATCGGCATTCACTCACTCTTCTGC